CCTAGCCTCACAATGCAATCACTCTGGATCTAGTTTCCTATTCCTTGCCAGAACATACAATAAGACATGCTGCAATAGATCGTATCACTTCAGTGCATAGCTGACCAAACCACGGGCCTAGGGGAGCCTTAACCATCTTAGATCAATTCCACCCTTCTCTACTGCAGGTGTCTGAGTCCAGCTCATATACACAGCAGCCAATGTCCAGATCCCTGCAGGACAGAACCTGAGCAGGGTTCTTTCAGCGTTTTCACTACTGAACTGAGATAGTAAATGACGTCCATACACTGACATTAACAGAACTGATTAGATTGAAAGGGGATAGAGGAAGCACAGATAGAAACCGTGAGTACAAAGTTCATGTGGGAATTGATTTCTGTGTATCACTTGACTCACGACCATCAGTCCATGTATGTGTCTGAGAAGACGATAAAACAGACAAGATAGCAGGATACTTTCAACAGGGCATCCAGAGAGAACCCAGCAGAAGCACGTTCGAGTGTGGTTCATCATCTGAGGCTGGAAAAGTGATCATCTGATGCTCACACAAAGTAAGAGCAGCTACAGCAGGACAAGACTACTGGACAACACCAACCTGAAGATTTGCATCAGATATCAAATGATAAGAGGAGGAGGCTCATTTACAGACACTCTGTTAGAGTTTCATTCATTATAATCCGATTGAGTTCGTAGTATTTTAATGTAGCTGTTTCATCACATAGGATACAAATATCACAACCTTCATCATAGTTTGCACAAAATAGCAATGAACAAAAATCATGAAAAATTAAAAGTAATATTTGGTATTAGCTGACAGTCAGCGTATTAATCTATGTGATGAGGATGCTGGGTATTGCTGCGACGTCATATTGAGTGGTTTGTATGCTTGTGCAACAAGAGAAGATTTATGTTGTCGTTTCTATCCAATCAGAGGAAAAGAGAAAGGTGGAAAACTGCATTGAATGCCTCCAACTTTAATTGTCGAAAGATTCTAAATAAGCTCCACTGCAACTGTTCGTCACAGATTACTGGATCTACCTCAACATATTTAGGAGTTATTTTTTTGCCAAAAGCTGATGTTAATATAAACATACGCCTTCTCGGAGAGCAGCATATGAATCAATTATTAAAATCATTACCAAAACTATAAACATACACACTTAGGCTTTTATTATCGAAAATTCAAGTGTGAACAACCAATCAAACAGCATATATAACAACCTGACACGACAACAAGACAGTCATTAATTACAATTCTGACTTTAATTTTTGATTTAATGTTTTAAATGAATAGCGAAAATGTAATTTCTTCATACAGGCTGACTCAAATGAGGTTACATAATTGGCATCACATATTTAACAAATCCTAGGCTTAGATATTTAAAAAGTTTTAATTCAGAAATACCAGATGAAAAAAATTTTAAGATCAATGATTTAACTGTATATGGTTCATTTTATTAATACTGCAACAAGTATAAAAAAAGCAGATATCTAAATGAATTACTTGAAGTTTGCTGAAGCTGGTTAAAGGCCAGGAATTTTATTTTATTTTATTTAGTTTATTAATAAGAATCGATAAATTAGAATAAATAAACCCATTTTGAGAACATAGTATATAATCAATTTTTACCTATTTCTGGATTCAGTTGGAGAGAATTTAAGCGTTATCCGGCGGCGGTTTTACTTTGTAATTTGTCAAAGATAAACTGAGGCAAAGACACTGTGACAGTTTTCGACAAGTGATTAAAGAACGTAAGTTAAAGAAGTTAATAAAAACGAACACAAAAAAATATGCTATATTACAAGCACTCAACAATGATTTTAATACAATTTTAACCATTTAATGTGATTAATTCATATAAACATGTTACTCAAATAATAAATATAAATAAATTCTAAGGTTTTTAGTATAATACTAATCTGCAATAACTTAAGGTAGGTAGGCGGCGGCAGAAGCTTTGCGGAAGTGTGTGACACCGTAGTCATATGACCAGGCAGGCAACCGGAGAAAATGCTACCTAGATATGGCTAAAATTCCTCGGACACGGTGACTAATCCACAGCGAACACGGTAACACTAGACATAAATCTTATTCAGATACAGTAAACATAACTGGTCATTGAATTCTCACTGTAACGAGTGTTAGCGGCAACACACCCATGTTTAACAGTTTACAGTTAAGCTAGCGTTAATAAAAGTCAGGTGTTTGTTTTATTCTACCTTAAGGGCTGAATTAGTGAACTAAGTGTTTAGGAGTTGCAGTCTCTATATTTGCTGAATGTTTGTGTCTGAATGTGTTCTCAGATGGAGGAGATTAAAGTGTCTCCTGACTATAACTGGTTCAGAAGCACAGTACCCCTGAAGAAAGTAAGTACCTCATGATTTCTAATCTGTGATTGTGGTCTGTAATAACTGGCCCCACTTCTTTATACAGGACAACAACAAGTACACTCAACACATAACATGTATACAGGTAATAAATTGGTGTTACCTGGATATAACTCCAGTTCTATGAGTAAATGTGAATTTGTGTTCACCAGCTACATTTATGAATGCAGCCACTCTACGAACATATGATTTTATACAATATGATTGTTGTTAGTGAAGAATTAAAATAATATAAGACCCCCATATATAATTCTTTATTCATCTAATTTACAGAAAATGTACTATATTGTGATATATATCGTTAATTGGGATATGAAATAACCTGTATCAGATATAAAAATGTTTAGGCTGATCAGGTCCAAGTTCTTTCACTCTGAGCTTCTCTTGTAATGTTCTACTTTCAAAAGGGGTTCATTTTTAATGACTTAACTGAATTTTCTGTCTCCATTTGCGCTAGCTATATGTTGCAAGGCTGCTCCAACTGTGCCCTCAACAATTCCTTGTGGTGCATCAGATATCAGTTTTTTGTTATTCGTTTTATTTTTATTTTTATTTTTGACAGGACAGTAGACAGGGACAGTAGACAGGGACAGGGGATCCCAGACAGCAATGGTCCTCGGTCCAGGCTTGAACCCAGGGCCGCTGTGCTATGGACTCATGGAGCATTGACACATGGTCTGCACTCTACCAGGTGAGCTACCAGGGAGTAACTACATATAGTTTTTAATCCTAAAAAAAAGAAATCAAAAAAACATTAATAACTTCTCCTAAAGTTGCCTGTAGGTGTAAATGTATTACAGTCTGCATCAGTCTATAGTCTGCATGTGCAAGCCCTGTGACTTACAGTTATTGTGCCGTGCCTTCACATACAATTGGAAGCAATATGGGGGTTCTTAGTCTTGCTTGAAGATACCTCAACATGTATAAGGATGACACCACCAACCTATGATTCATAGCTGACCTGCTCTTAAAAATTAACCACAATTGCCAATGTTAGATTCTCATATCAGAACAGTTAAAAATTATTAAAAATATTTTTTTTCACTCTCCCAATCAGGAGTAAAAGAGGTTAAATGAAACAAAAATAATGGCAAACAAGCATAATAAATCAGACAACTACTCACACTCCCTAAATCTTCAATTTACATGCCAACTACATCGAAGAGCAGGTGAGTGAGCAGCGTAGTTCAAACAGCAAGATTTTGTAAGAACTTTATTTACCGAGGGGAGTCAATCTGCTGTATTACTGCAGAGCAACAGACACTGTGACCCACTGCGGGCTGCTATTAACAGGTAGTGCCTTCTAAATGAGGACACCACTTGTAACTATGTGTGCACAACACTGACTCATTAAATGAGTAAAGAACACATGCAGGGACAGATTCACAAATGTAAAACAGGTGTTTTAGCATAACTCCTGATTTTACATTCACTCAGTTGGAAACTGGCCCTTGTGATGTTCTTTAGATGTCTGTCAGATACTAAACATGTGATACCCCACCCATATCTGCCTGTCAGGCTCTCAGCTTCTTTCAGTTTTAGCCTTTTAGTTGAATGGCCAGTGGCCAGACGTTACTCAGAGGTTGGAGTCTAACAGGGGGATGCTTCACTTCAAGGTTCAAACCAGTGGAGAATAATTTTTCTTGAAGACTTTTACTTTTGGTACTTTAAAAACATTTAGCCACTAATACTTTTGTACTGAAGTCCATCTGAAATCACATTCACAGTCATCCCTTTTTACAGTCAAAAATAATGTCAATGTGGTTCTTAAGTGTATTGTTAACAGTTTTACATAGCCCTACAAAGGCTTACTGCATGTAAAATGCTGAAATTGTGTTTTATCTAAATGAAGTATTTTGTGAGGTTAAACCTATGACGATGTCTTGACACATTTATTATAATTGTTAAACTATGTAAACCTGCTTTTAGAATGATATTCCCCTATATCACAGTAATATCCAATCTGTCATTACATTGTACTACAATTGGCTCAGCTAATAACAGATGAAGTCAGTAAGAGTACCCAGTGGAAAATACAAAGATTCCAATCATTTTGATTCCCTACATTGTCCTGAAATCGTGTAGCATACATTTACAGACACTAAAGCCGCAGTAGCTGTAGACGAAACTCTGAGAAAAGCGAAGAAGCGCAGTTTGCCCTGGGTTTTTGGTTGGATTTTGTAGTCACTGCAAAAAACCTGCAAAAATTGTTTTCTCTAAGATAGAGCAAGATTGAACTGAAAATAAAACAGACATTTAAAAGTTCAGTTTCAGTCATACCTCAAGTTTGACCAGAACTGTAGTTACTGCCTTTTGTCTTCATATAACATACTATTTAAATATCAGAAATTCTCCTGTTGGCGGCTGGGGGGTGTGCTGATATGTTTGATTGACAGAGGCTGGCAGGCTGAGCCTCAGTACTGGAGTCAAAGGAGCTTGAGGCAAAGTAGACAATCTGTGCTATAGCAGACAGTGTGTTGTTAGCTGTGGTATTGAGAAATAAGGACAACACCAGCATCTAAAGTGACCAAAGTAGTGACATTTGTAGGTACATTAACATGCTGTTTAATGGAGGTTGATAAATCCAACTCTGTAGAATGTGAGGACTATAAAAGCATGTTACCGGTGGTAGGCAAGCTGTCAGATGGCTCACTCTTGGACCTTTTTCCTGCAGGTGAGTTGGGAGAGCACATCATAGTGTTTTGAACTTGCAAACTACATTGTGTATTGCGGGTAGGCAGGTCGCTGAAATGTTTAAATATTCCTAGAACATTTTTCCTGTGGGTATAACCGCTATGGTAGAATGTTTTAAATGTTAAAGCATTTCAGGAACATTTTAGTGGGTAGTTTTTAAAGAGTTCCTCGAACATTTAATCTGAGGTTATAATAGCATTACTGTAAAACAATACAAATGTTACATTCTTAAAACGTTTCATAACGAAAACCTTCCGCTAACAGTCCTATAAAGTTAAACATGTTACTGTGTTTTGTTCTTTCCAGAGTTCAGAAAACATTTGCAAACATTTGTCACAGTTTTTTTTATCACAGCATCCATTTTGACATAATATTTCATGTCAACACAGCTGTTACCAATGATACTAGTTAAGGTTCCATTCAGTGCAGCAAAGCCTTTCCATTGAGCCAACATGCATAATAATAAAGATGCAAGAAGAGCAATAGTAGAACTAAGCACCCAGCCAATGTAGGGAGGGAATTTCTCTGTAAATAGTGTGGAACAGATTCCTGGCCAGATAGATGTCAAAACGGCTATTTTTGAGCAGTAAAGTTAACTCACTTGAACTTGGTGCAGTGTATCTGCTGGCTGCTGCTGAGTGTTTGTTTCAAAGAAATTAAATGAAAAGTGAATCCTGCCGACATGCTCAATGACTGCTGACTCCAGCGTAATACCTCCAGTCCATGTAGGTACTATGAGATAGTTCCCCCCCCCCCCCCTCTTTATTAATTGAAGTGATTAGGAATAAACATTCAATAACAACAGTTCAACCATGGCCAGGGACGTGGAAAAATAAAAAAGACATAGGAAAATTATTCACAAATTATGTTAAAATTAAATTCTGTATTGCTGACAATTTTATTTTTCTATGACCTTTTCTAGTATAAGAGCCTCATGGACCCAAAGACCGGTCCTAATGCGGCAAAACGTCCTTTTATGAGGTCCTGGCAAGAGTTAGGGCTAAGGTGTGACTTGAGGTTAGGTTGAAGTCGCAGCATGAATTGATTAGGTTTAGGGTTATGGTTAGGAATGTCCTAGGGATAGGATAGCGGTGTGTTTATGCATATAGTCACATTCACTATTCCGTGCAATTCGCAAATTCAGTAAGATGCTGGAGTGGCCTTTGTTGGGCAGAGCAGGACTGAGTTACATTTTCCATTCTTTCACCATTATGCTATAGTAAAAAAGGCCACCATTGGCTCACAGTGGTGCAGCTTATACCGGCCCCACAGAGAGCCCTGGCAACACGCTGACACTGTCGGCACACTTGGCAGTCCAGCTGGGTGGGTGTATATAACAGAGAGAGAGAAAGACAGAGAGAGAGCTAGGGACATGTCCTCCCTACTTTTTCAGTAGCCATTCTACCGATAATCTAACAATGGGTCCACTGCTTATTTTACATTAGATGACAAACTCTGCATAGCTGATGCAACACAAGCATACGCCAGGACAGTAATCAAATGAACACACTCATGCTGCTAGTCTCAGACAGTGTGACTAGAGAATACCACAGCATGTGATGTTCAGTAGGGTTATTATGGATTAAATAAACAGTGTTTTCTGTTTATTAACCACTTCTCTGACAGTATAGTAAAAGCAAGTGGCTGGGAATAGGATAAGAGCATTCACAAATATAGAAAATGGTATTTAAATACCCCTAGATCAGGATTTATTGTGTCCCCCAACTTCATCAGCATTACACCCTTGCAGTCACAGTTGCGAGCCAGAGTAGCTATCAAGCTAACAGCAGTTAAATGTTTTAATGTAGTGTGTCCTATAGTAAGTAACTTTTGCACCTACAGATTAACCTATTTGCAATTATTAGCAGTTGTTGAGCTTGCTAGTTTATGCTGAGTTTACACTACATGATTTTAGCCTTGATTTTCCACCTGCCATTTTTTGGACATTATCTGCAAATTCCCCCAGAGCAGAGGCAAATCTGCGCTTCTTTTCATAAGGACGATCACTCTGTTCAAAGACGTGTTCAGAGGGCTCGCCGATGCCTCGCAGAAACCTAAAAAATATCTAGTGAGCTAAATATCTTGAGCCCTGCAACAAGCTATGGCCTGTTTAGGCTAATTATAAGCTACTCAGGTTCTAATGGCAGTATGGTTTCCCCTTGTGTGCATGTTTTTAAACTACTTTCCTAATCAAACAACTCCTGGTAATGACTCCTGATGAAACACAGTTAGTAGACCAGACAGACTTCGGGATTAATCCTCGTTAAGATCTTGTAGTGTGTGACCCCCTGGTATTGATCAATCACTTAGTGTGCAGACCACAATAACTTCAAGACTCTGGTGACTGTTAGCAATATTAATATTGTCAAGAAAAGTGACTTGACACTGCACACAACAGGGAGGGGAAGCAGAGACCAACATTTTAATGTAAAAAATGTCTTTAAGATCAACCTCAGGTGCACCTAGCTGTGTCTCACCTTAGGAAGTTCTCCAGGTCATCGCGGCTGCAGGAGGACCATGACAGGTCGCTGGGGTTTCTTCCCTTTACCCACTCACCAGACATGATGTGAGAATGACCAGTGCAGGTGGCGTGGTCGTCATCATGGCTCATTCCCATGCTGCAGACAAGACATGGATAAATAGACAATGTCAAAGAGTAGTAGAGTTGAACGTCAACCAGCCATTGTCTCAGTACTTGTCGATTTACTTTCAAGCATCCTTTCTGTAGATATATGGCTATGGTGAGATCAGTATATACAAGCTGTGAGTAAGGTGTGCGTTTTCATCAAATTCTCCTCCACTCCAGCTTTGTTTTATGTGTCATTACCTTCTCCTTCATTGTTTCTCTGCTTAGACAGCCTAAAATATATATATTAGGGCTGTACCCAATCTCCTGTCTTTGTCATCTGTGATGTAAAAAACATCAGATTTCCACCCAGTCAGAGAAAGTAAAAGTGTCCTGCTCATAGTTCAGTTATAAGATCCCAGTGCACCACTGACCATCTCTGGTGCAGGGCTGCTGACAGCGCTGTCAGCCCAAGAGTCAACCACAGTGGAAAGCAGGCGAGGCGAGGAGGTTGGACCAATGTCTGCTTCAAAAGTGGTGTAGCTGACTTCACTGAGAGAAGATGACTCCAATCATTGACTTTCGGGTGCAGCTGAAATTATGATCATGTCTCAGCTCCTAGGCTGTTGTATCCACATACCACCACGTCCTGGTGAATCTAGGTATACACCGTAACTTGATTTTGTTCTCCACCGGCATTCCGTTAAGACCCGCCCTATTCTGCTTTTGATTGGCGAGTGTTTATTGCCTTAGTTGGTTTGGTTGGGGAGGTTTAGGCATGAAGAGTGAGATGGTTAGAGTTAGAAAAAAATGTCAGGGTCAAAGCCAATCAGAGGCAGAGTAGGTGTGGGTCTTCGTGGAATAAAAAATAACGCCCGCGTTGCTGCGTCTTTGTGTAACTACATTGCTAGTTTAACACTGCAAAAACGGGTTTGGGCTGAATTAATGTACTGGCAAATTCGTACAAATTCAAGACCACACCACCCTGATAAAGATAAGATATTTGTGAGGTGAACAAAGCATGGTGTACTGGAGATTTTTACTGGAATTGTTTTGATGGATTTGCACTGACATTATTTAGCATGTGTATGTATTAGTGAGTACTCATTTTGTTAGAATAAGTTGCTTATGGATATCTTATTATGGTGCTAGGCGACTTTTGGTAATATCGTGGCTACAGCTACATTTGTGATCACCTCAGTGGATCCCTGGCTAAACTGAAGATAATTGTACTTAAACTGTACATTTGGATTCAGCTTGAAAGCAACAACGTGTACATATACATATACTGTACTGAAAGAAAATGGATATTTTAAACAGTGTCTAAAAAAATCCAGATTTTAATTGTTCTTAAGCAACTGGGACTGTAAGCACAGAGCTGCAGGACACACACTTACAACACAATGAAAAAACAATACTGTGCAGTGTAGTCCCTTCAACAAGCAGCACATCTTACAGTAACACACCTGCAACATATTGATGGAGCAGAGCCTGAGGGAAACTCTGACAGGAAGGATCTCTTACCCACAGTGGATCTGTGCACACACAATGCATGTCTGTGTGTGAGTCACAAATAGAGATCAACAGAGGATGGAGTGTGTGTTGAAACAGGGAGGACTTTACTTGGGCACAGTAACTGTGTGTGTGTAAGTGTGTAGGTGTGTGTGTGTGTGTGTGTGTGTGTGTTTCCACCCAAAGCCATGACCTACATTTGCAAATTAAAAACAACATCCTAGTCTGAACTCCAGGCACAGACTCAGAAACTAATAAATTACAAGTGCAGACTCTTTTCCCCTGGTTGAAATGAAAGCAGTATAGAATTACATTTCAGGACTCATCCACTGCACAGGATAATGCAGTGCCTTCAAAGCAGAGGGAATACATCAGTGTCTGAGAACCGTCCAACCGGGCCAGGACCATTCAAGCCAGAACAGATAAGCCACATTATCTTAAACACTCCAACAGACATTACTGTTTATCTTCTCTTTTCAGATAGACATTAAATGGCTTAATTATTATAGTACATAAAGCACAACAGATCCACAACAGAACATCATGTCTGCATTAAGATAAAATTAAACATGAAAACGTCATGTACCCAGGGATGTAACCAAATACGTATTCATCAGTTTCCACTATATTCATATCAATATTCACTGCTATACCAATCTTTGTGCAAAAGCTTGCCTCATTTCTCAACCCATTAGCCTGGTTTGGAACAAACAAACTCTGGTTCATTTGCCTTTTTCAGTCCGGTTAAATTTGGGATCAATCTGCATTGTGAACACTGCAGGCTACATGTATACTCTGTACACATGCAACAAATTCATACATGTACATGCACAAAAAATGTCAAGGATACAAAAAAGTTAGAAGAATACTTATTTCCAGTGTGGTCGTCTTTCCAGGATGAGGAGATGGTAACGCAAGTCACAGATGACTAAGGCACTGAACCAACACAAGGCCACATAAAAAAAACAATACATCTTTCCCTATAAAAATAAACTGCACGGTTAACATCATCACACTCATTGTACATATCTGCATAGGCCACACTTATTCCCCACCAATTCCCTTGATAAATAAACCGGCACCCCCACATCCAATAAAGCGGCCAGTCCCATCTTAGAGTGTAGCCACCTCTCTAGGTGTCCCACATGCATAACCCTGACCCTAATCTTTGATAGGACTCATTGATTTGATCTCTACTGGAAGTATGCTCCACTCTACCATGACCATGTACAGAAAGGTATTATGGAAGTTACCTCATAATAAGCGATCTAAAAAGGTGGTGTTTCATTTTCTGCAAGAAAAATCTGTAACCCTGGTAACACATATGCGCATCACATTTTCACAACAGAAAGGTTCAAATAGTTCAAAATGTTGTGTGTTGTGCTTGTTTCCAACTACGTGCACTTTGGCGACTTCCCACAGAAATCCATTCCTGTAACTGTACTATTGCGGTACACAATGCCTCTGGTCCCGTTACCAGCGGTTTGTCATCATTTATAACAGCCCAATAATATGCTATTAACAATGCCCATCAGTTATTTCTTTGTTAACTCTGATCCCAGAGAACATAAATAAACAAGTTAGTGGACCACAGGATGACGTCAGAACAAAAAGGCAATTTAGTTTCTTCTTTGGTCCAGACCAAATGAGCAAGTGTAGTTGTTTGTGGTGTGAAAAGCAAATTAGATATGAGAGTAGAGTAGATATGTGATGTTAGATAAGATATTGACATTCATATTGATAATAGGAGGGAAAAAAAGGGATAATTACAGAAGATTAAAAGTGTCATCCTAGAAGTGCCTGTCTCTGACTGGATTTGTGGGTTCAGCCTGGGGAGTGTCTACTACTGATTGGTCCATTCACGACATCCTTCCTTTTGAAAATGCCCTGGTTTGACAGCAGCACCTTGGTTCTATCAATGGCCTCCAAACCCTTTTGCAGTTACTGTGTGTGTTAGGACTGTGAGATATTACAGGGCTGAGAGCCCAAGTTGGTTAGCTGTAAGTGTTGGTGTAAGTTTTGTGGGTACAATATTCCAACTTTTGTGAATAGCACTGAAGTGTTTATGTAAAGTGTGTTTGAGTATTTAGAAAAGCGCTTATAAATAGTATTATTGTTGTTGTTATTATTATTATTATCATTATTATCATTATTATTATTATTAAGTTGTAGGGGTGAGCTGCCATTTTCTTTTACACTGTTTTTTCCTCCTATGGAGTTTCGTAAATGTATTTTTGTTTGTTTGCTTCACTTGGGTTAGTCAGCACTTTTTAACAACCGTTTAACTCTTATGTTGCACTTATACCCCCCTTGATCGGGGGGCAGTTCTAAGTAAGATATACTGTGACAAATATTGTACAAGCACTTTAGTGCTTTAATTACTACTTGACACACAAGACAATAATTCCTTAGTGTGCGTGTGTGGAGGTGCCAGTATGTGTGCTTAGGTAACACTGCTTCCATAAAGTGCATGGGCAGCAGTCAGACGCAGTGTGTGCCAGCTTGTTACCTTTCCTGGCCCCCAAAGCTGGAGCAGAGCTGCTCGATGAAAACTATGATAACTCCTGAGGGGCCTGGCACAGGCACAAAGCTGCCACAAAGGTTCATACACTCTGGCATGATTTCCAGGTGAAGCTGGCATTAGCTCTGTGTAGCTGGGCTGTCAATGAGGGCTTTATGTGTGGACTGAATGTTTCCAACTATAACAGACATCTTGCTGCCACACAGAGTAAGGAGATAATCAGTTGAGATTCGCTCACATGGTTGTCCCAGTCCCTTTGTTTGCCCACACTGCAAGGCTTTTAATATTGGGTATCAGCCTCCAGAACCCATATTTATAAATAAATAAAATAAAATTTAAAAGAGTTTAGATTCCTTTAGAATTTCTAACCTTAAATGGTAAAGCAATAGCACTAACTTTATGTGTTATTGTTTTGTTTGGTTGTTTGTATGAGCTATTTTCTCTACTACTCTCTCTCTCTACATGTAATACACATGCTGGTCTAAGTTGGCAGTGTCACATTTTGTCACACGTTTTGTCTCACGTAGGTGCCAGCTTAGCAATAACAAATACGCAACATCTGGTTCCATTTTCAAAATAAAGCAGAGGTCTTAGTTTGGTTAGGTTTAGGCAAAAACACTACTTGGGTAGGTTTAGGAAAAGATTGTAAGTTACGTTATATACCTGATGTTAGTTACGTAAGTAAATTTGCATACGTAGATTAAAATAAGTCAACATGGACCTTTGGTTTCACACAGGACTCGAACAGTGTTCTCCTGTGCTTGTGTGACCCATTTATTCACCCGTTCATCCTCCATAAACAGCTTTTCTCCCTTGTTATATTAAACCATCATACAAGTGTGTACTTTTCACATCTAGATGAGGCAAAACGTAACAATGATACAGTATCCGGCAAGACTACACACTTTGGCCTGAGACTGGGCTGGAAATTGACTACTTCCCATCTCTTTCTTCATTTTTAAAACGTCACCAAAATGCTTTGATTAACTTGAGTGATTATTTTCACCCTTTGAGGAAATGTCTTCTGGTAAAAGGATAGACTATTTTAAATTTGAGGAGTTTAAAAGAAATACATTTCAATTTGGCTCTTGAATGGTAAACCTTCGGCACATAGTTTATTATGGAGCAGGGAAGTTATAAACATGCTAATCCATTCAGAAACATGGGTTAACATTGGTACTGCTTTCTCATACAAGCACAATGTGTAGTAGACAATAAGGCTGAGAAGATATATAGGATACTAGTGATGTTACTTCTCCTTCAACCGATCGTTGATCACATGATAAGGTGGTTGTATATGGGTTGGACAACTGAGACGGGTTACAATCTTCCTCCCATATATGATCACTTGTCATCACATGAGCAACATGACGACACCTGAGCCAGTTCCATTTGCTGATGAAGACCATGAGAGGCAGTTATAGGCTCTGAAAAAGTTAGCGAGTGGACCATGAGTTGAGATTTGTTTAGTGACCTAAACGGAGATGACCACAAGCAAATATACTCTAGGTCACCACGAGGGAATATTTCATTTGTGATCATTCCAAGTATTATATACAGAGAGAAGACAGAAAAGGCAGAGGGTCTGGATGAATAGAAGAGAAGCTGGAGTTCCTGGTAACTTTGGAAATCAGTCTGTCTGATGTGTCACGCCGAGAGCCAGTGCTTGTTGTCACAGCAAACATCAGTCAGGGAACTCGTCCACTGACTGTTTGTGGACAAAAGACACAGAAAAGCTCTCCAGCACAAAGTGTATCCAAATACAGTTTGCTTGTTATCCTTGAGTGAGATTTTCCACCTTCACTCCATACTTACAGAGCCATAGGTTTCGGAGAGCTGGGTCTGTTTGAACTGTGGGCATGGTGGAGGTGGAACAAGGTCTGTACTGAACTCTACATTGGACATAATTCCACGCAAATATGTTGCAAATTTTAACTGAATTTCGTCTAAATCAGAAAAAGTAAACGTGAGTCAAGACAAGCAGTAGGCAGCAGCAAGTCTCTAATCAAAAACCAGAAAAAGAGGGCACAACAAGACGACGCAATTACACCTCAAACAGTGAAAAACTATGCAAAAAACACAATGGAAATATGACATCTCTGTTTGTTTCATGTATTAATGTGAGGAAGGTTCTATCAGATCTGTGTGCAGCGATCATGGATGTATTATAGAGCCATGGGAGATGAGGAGCCTGGCAGGGTGGAAACAGCACATCAGTCACGTGAGTAAAATGTTTGCTACGTCAGAACCATTTTCACCAGAACTGTAAAGCCAATAGTTTTAACGTTGACAAGTTAAGGAAGTTTTTGATTAGAATAATGTCTTTGCCTTATCACTCTAAACTGGTACACTTTCACACTGTCCTCACAACAGCAACATGGACTTTAACACAACGCGTTGTCAAAATGCACTTGTTTAAAAACGAGCGCAGTGAAACCTACTTGTGTCCCAGCTCGTGAGCGATGGTGAAGGCCAGATTGAGTCCATTGTCCTCCGCTAACACACACTTCCTCTTGGCACTGCAGACACCACCCAGATAAGCAATACCTGTAACACAGTGACATGACATGACAGTGAGTTTCATAAATAACAAAATGTATTGTTTCTAGCAGGGTTGACAACTGCTATGGTCTTTTGACAGGACTCTCCAAAAAGACCATCAAAAAGTTTCAGCTTTTTCAAAATTCAGTTCATAAAAGTGTAACTCTTTGTAATAGCCACTAAAATGTGTGATAATTTATTACAAAATGTGGAAAACGTATTACATATTCAGGCTGTTTATTACAAAATGTGGCTGTTATTACATATTGAATTAAAAAAAAAGGATTACATTTTGTTGAGTCATTACATAATGTACAAGGATAAACAGAACACCTGTGAAATTAAGTTCTGGATTAGACAGCTAAACTATTGGATCTGAGACATCAGCGATCACTGGACTCGAGTACTGTTGGAAAACAGATTATCTTAAAGCAGATTGACTGCGCAAGTATATATGAGTGGCCAAAAATGTTTAAAAAACAACCAATCAGCCTTTCACACAGGCATGTGAGGTGAAAGTTAGAGCTCCTTCATGTGTCAGAACGAACACACACACACACACGCATGCACGCACGCACGCTTTCTGTCTGCCTCTGGAGCCAGGCCACAGAGGCTCATTTGAATCCAGACAGACATAAATTAAATCATTGACAAGGATAAGAAGTAGAGATTTCTAAAAAAGAAATAGATAAAAACAGAAGACAGCGAGAAGTTTTGGCCTTATTAGCCAACACAGCAAACACATATTACTTCACTGGTGCATGACGTGAATAAAGGCCCAGGATTCACGACTTTTTTTTCCTTTGACCCTGTGTTATCAGACAGAGGAACAGCTGGAGAAGCTCCAATGGCTGTTGGCCCATTAGATAAAGTGGAGCAATAAATTCACAAGTTAAGATCATATAAAATTGAGGTTTAATGGGAGCTTTCCTGTTGTGTAAAAAATCTGCCACAGTCTGGATCTTTGTCAAGCTCCAGTGACTGTAAACTGTCTAAATATACAGCCGGCAGAGAGGGTTGCTGTTGTTACTGTATATCAGTTCAGTAATGGTAAGAGCTCCATATCTCTCCATTAGTTTACTGCAGTCTATATATAGGGGTTTTCCCATATATTGTGAGGCTAGCAGAAAAAGCATGTTTACCTGTTCACACATAGTATGCCATCTGAAACACTACATTAAACATTAAACATTACATCTGTAATTAAACTTTAAAAAGCTCTGTTGTTCTGCTCGCCTAGCATTACCACTCACAGTCCTCACAGAGCAGTAACCCATTCAGAAGATAGATTCACTTTCCTATTCACTAAAATACTGTTCACTGTCTGGGTTTAGCTTGAGAGGAGAAGCTAAACGCTACAGGTTTTATTCCATATAGCCACTGTTCAACCAACTGACACTAAGCACTTTGAGAAAATATTTTGTAAAATTAAAAAAACGATGGATTTTTTATATCAAAATCCAATAATTTTTACTTTGTGTAAAACAAAATATAACGTGTGCTTACACATGAACTAACCAATTCAATCAATGATATCATGACATCCATCCATCAATCAATCTTAAACTTTGAAATGAATTGGATGCTCATGCCATTAGCTGTACAGCTTACAAAAAAAAAGAAACCAAAAAAGACACAACTAAAAAAGCACCTAGTCAGCTAATGGGTCCAATACAGCTGCTGGACTGTAACCAAAAGCGCTATTGGCTACTGCGAGTCCTCCCCAGCTGCTATAGCTTTTTAACAAAAATACGTAAATATGCGGAAGCAAACAGCATTTCCGAATAAACAAAATAAAAATTATAAAGTATTTTATATGCCGACACCCTCTTTTTTGCATGTACACACACCCAAACAAAAATAAAGCAAATGAAACATCGGAGTAAATGAATTCTGTTAAATGCTGTTGTATAGAAAAGATTGTAGTACATTGTACTAAAACTCAACCATAAAGCTATGAACTGAAACACTGCTTTCCACTCACTCACTTACACACACACACACACACACACACACACACACACACACACACATACACACACACCACCTTGAATGTACTGTAATATAGGTGGAAAACCACAGCTGTTTGTATGGTATTGAAGAGATAATACAACAAGATGAAAGGACTTGGCTATCTCATGTATTGTCCATGAAATCTATTTTTAGACTGCCCCAAGACCCTGGACTCAGACATTATTTATTACACTCTGCTCTCCTGTTTTAATGTCTCCACTCATTTTCTATTCCACTCAGGCTCCTAGCCTGGAGTGTGTCCAGGCTAGGAGCAGTCTGAAATGTGTACAGTAAAATGAAAACACATTTTGCAGTGCCAACACTGAGAAAATCTGAATTGTGTTTGTTTATTAATGCTGTTCTTGTTCGAGGTTGAATCTTGATGCTACTGTGATAGATATGTATAGACGTTTATTACAGACAAAACTAGAGACCAGCAATCAGTCAGATTAGAGAGCGGAGTTCATGTTTTAAAAAGAGCAAGGGTGTGACATGTTGCATCTTTCTTTCCTTGTTTTATGTTGTGTCTCAACTAGCGCTGTCAAATTTACTAAAATAAAACATGCAATAAAATCAAATGAGAGTAACGTCAGCCTATTTCTAAACATGGACATTATAACTTTCACGATAACCGGATTTGGGCAGAAATTGTGAGCATGACCATCTAACAAATCAGCAGAGGATAGTGTGATTGGATTTTGAACTGAACCACACACACCAAAAACATTTCCATAGATTTCATTTCTGTCTACTTTCGTGCAGACAATGTTTTGGCAACATCACTCTGACCACAACATTTATAAGGTCCAGTGTGTAACATTTATGAGGATCCATTGTCAGAAATGGAATATAATATTCATAGATATGTTTTCATTAGTGTATAATCAGCTCGATATAAGAATCGTTGAATTTTCATTTCCTTAGAATGAGCTGTTTTTATCTACAGAGGGAGCGGGTCCTGTTCTATGGAACTTTCTACAGTAGCCCACAAGGGACAAACCAAACACTTGTTTGTTTAGGAGTACGTCACCACCATTGTTGTACGCAGGGTTGTAGAAATACCTATGTCCAATTATTCAATCAAATTATTTCTCGACTTTTGTGACAAATCTTTTGGAAAAAATACCGATGACCTAAATGGTGGGTACAGCCATGCCCACCAGAGGTGGTGATGCTCAATAAGAAGTAAGGGTACTCGTGTGGACAAAAATCAGAAAGTACTCAGTACTGGTGAGTACCGGACCAATTCAGGCCCTGACAAAGATCAACAAGGCGGTTTAGGTCAATGTTATTTTTATTTCTGTCATTGTTTTGGTCTGAGATGCTGGTGCTCTAGTACGACACCTAGTGGCAAGTAAATTTTTAATATATAACCTTTAAGTAACTCAATATAAAATAACAATTATCATAATTTATTAACTGACAAGTGGTAGATATTGAACCTTTGTTTGATGGCATAGTCATTTCTGTAAATGCAGCTGAGGTCTCTCATACATGCCATACAGCCACAGTATTGTGCAGAATGGATCCATTTAGTAAAATCCAAACATGGTGGTTTTTGATTGGACTGGGCTCAGGCTAAAGCCCTCTTCAATGGAAACATTTTGGGCTGATGAAAACAGAAGTTGGCCTGGATATGGACATGTGTTTTTTTCCTCTTTACCGATTAGCCATTTTATAACCATGCATGCTTGGTCAGAAGCTGCAATTACACGTGCATAATGTATATGCTCTGAGACAATTATAGGAGAGCAACCTTGATGTTTGTATGCAAATAAAGAAGTTCAGAAATATCAATTTTTCTGTTTTCACATGCAAAGAGGTTGTGTTTAGCAGACTGTTTACATGGCTTCTTATGTTAGCAGGATGATAGTGTGGTAATGAGATATACGTGCAGGGGAGAGAATGTGTAAAGGAACACCTGCTGAGTGCTAGACAAGGAGATTCATGGTGAAATAAGCTCTTTTTTAAATTACTTTCCTCTTCTAACCAATTATAAGTTTTTGTTCATAAACCACACTCTTCTGATAATGATCTCTATATTCAGCTTTTACTATTCCAAAGTCAGCTACACAGCTTGGACTGGATTTTGCGGTCATAGCACCTCTGTGTCTGCATGTCCAGACATCCAGGTTTTTGTTTTTTTTATTTCCTTCATGTGTGAGCACCCCTTGCAAACTAGCCATGTTTTTGCTTGTAAACCCTGATTCAACGTCTACTAACAATTTGCAGTTCTAACAAATCACTCTATACTTAAAAAAAACTTTAATTGTCTGGATGTCTGGATTTCCACAAGTTTTGTCACAGCATGACAAACTGACTTAGATCTGCGTATGATGGAACAGAAGTGATTGTCATGAATTCAGTATTCTTGAAATTGAAACAGCAACGCAGAACTCTTATTTTGTGTTTATTCTGGCGGCACTTGTGGCAGGCATTAAGAAAAATGACTACTGTTTTAATGGTCCTGTTAAAAGGACCAGTGTGTAGGATTTAGTGGCATCTAGTGATGTATTTGCAGATTGCAACTGCCTCACTTCACCATTCCCTTCCAAGCAGGAAGGAGAAACTACAGTGGCTACAAGAAATGTCACAAAAAACGGTCCTATCTAGAGCGAGTGTTTGGTTTGTCTGTACTGGGCTACTAGAGAGACATGATGGTTCAACAGCCTCCATTGAAGGCAACCTGCGATGTCTGTAGATAAAAA